AGCACTTCCTTTTCTAAGGGGCTAACCAGAACAGGGGAGAGCTCAGATAGTCCTTCAAGGCTCTAAACGCTTCCTCACATTGGGTATCCCATTGAAATGCCTTCTTTAAGACTTGAAAGAACAGTTGGCATTTGTCGTTTAATCTAGATACAAAACGGCTTAGGGCTGCTATTCTTCCTATCAAACACGGAACTTCCCTAGTGTTGGATGATGACTTCATATCCATTACTGCTTTAACTTTAACTAGATTAACTTCAATCCACCTGCTATTGACCATAAAACCGATAAACTTTCCCACAGATACTCCAAAAGCACATTTGGCAGGGTTGAACTTTATGTTGTATTCCTTAAGGACCTGAAATGACTCTACAAGGTGCTCAACATGGAGTTCTACCTTTAATGATTTTACCAACATTTCATCGATGTATACCTCCATTGTCGTCCCAATCTATTTTTGAAACATTCGATTTACAAAGCGTTGGTAAGTGGCTCCTGCGTTCTTCAGTCCGAAAGACATAACCTGATAGCAGTATGTCCCTTGCTCCGTCACAAAAGAGGTCTTCTCTTGGCCACTAGGATCCATTCCAATTAGATTGTAACTAGAGAAGGCGTCCATGAAGCTAAGTAGCTCGTGCCCTGCGGTGGCATCCACGATCAAGTCTATCTGAGGTAAAGGGAAGCTGTCTTTAGGGCAAGCACGATTAAGGTCAATAAAGTCGATGCAGAGACGCCATTTTTCATTGGTCTTCTTAACAAGGACCACGTTAGCTAACCAGGGGGGATAATCTACTTCTCTGATGGCTTTGACATGCAAAAGCTTGCTTACTTCCTCATTAATGGCCTTCTACCGCTCGGGGGTGAAACTTCTCCTCTTCTGTTTAACGAGTTTATTGGTGGGGTTCACACTGAGATTGTGTAAGATGACTGAAGGGTCGATTCCTGTCATATCTTCTTGCTTCCAGGCAAACACTCCTATATTCTCCTTCAAGAATTAGATGATAAGGTCTTTAATTTTTCTGCTCACCTTAGATCCTATGTAGACAAGGTGTTCTGGTTCTTTGTCAAGTTGAACTAGTTCCAGCTCTTTCGATGGTGTTGGTCTAGTGTCCAACTCGTCCCTTATGTCGAGCTCGTCTAGTTGGATATTTTTGACCTCCTTCCTTTTGACAGACGCCATGTAGCACTCCCGTGCCACACGTTGGTTTCCTCGGACCATACCAACCCCATTTTCCGTAGAGAACTTCATAACCAAGTGGTAAGCAGAAGGTATAGCCCTCATTGCATTGAGTGAAGGTCTCCCAAGCAACACATTATATGCCGAAGGTGCATCAACTACCAAAAATTTCATAAAAGTGGAGGTCTGACAGGGAGGGTCCCCAATTGTGAGCACAAGTTATATTGACCCCAGGTGTAGTATCCTTTCTCCTGAGAATCTCAAAAGGTGGATATTTACTGGCTCGAGCTTTTCTCTACCTATCTCCATCTTATCAAACGCTGGCGCAAAGATGATGTCTGCAAAGCTCCCGTTGTCGATCAATACTCGATGAACAGTTCTGTTGGCAACAACCGCTCTTACAACAAAGGGATCATCATGGAGATGCTGGCAGCCTTCCAGATCTGAGTCTGAGAAAGTGATGGGTATGTCCAGACGTGGAGTCTTGGATATAGTATGTACTTCCAATGTTTCATCAACTCTGATTCTACGCAAGTGAGCTTTCCGAGTTGAGATGGATTCCCCTCCTCTTGCAAATCCTCTTGATATTACTCTGATTTTTCCTAGGGGTTGCTGATGCTGCACAGAGACTTGCTGTTGAGGTACTGGGGGTGGTGGAGCTCTGTTATGATTATCATGGGCAATAAAACGACGCAACTGCCCCCTTTGGATCAAGAACTCAATCTCCTTTTTCAGCTGAATGCAGTCATCAGTATGGTGACCGTGGTCTTTGTGGTACTCACAGTACTTCATAAGATCTTTCTTCGTTGGATCTGCCTTCATTCGAGGAGGCCATCTTAAGAACTTTTCATTCTACACCTCATATAGGATTTGGGACACTATGGCAGTGAGTGAAGTATACTACTGAGGTGCATACCTTGGCTGCAACTCAAGTTATGGGGAACCTAGACGATCCCTAACATTTTCCCTGCTTTTTGGGGAACGTTCTCTATCTCTCCTAGGAGATCTGTCTCTTCTTGGAGACCTGTTTCTTTCTCTTTTTTTCCTAAGACTTCGATCCCTTTTGTTTTCCTCCTTTTCTTTTCCTTTTTGCAAAGACGAGCACCCTACCTTTGAGAGGAGAGCTTCCTCACTGTTTATATACTTCTCTGCTTTAGCCAACACCTCGGTCATGCTTGCTTGAGGATTTTTGGATACGGAGAACATCAAGTCCTTTGACTGTACTCCCAATCCTGCTATGAAAGCAATAATTGCAAATTTTTTGTCTAGGACGTCTACCTTTTGGGATTCCCGAGTTAAACCTTTGAACATAGGACCTTAGGTTTTCTTGAGGTCCCTGCTTCACATTTAGCAAATGGTAGCTCGGCTTCCTGTATGTCCGAGCTCTAATGAATTGAGACACAAAGGATATCGAGAGCTCTTTAAAAGAGGATAACGAGGCTGGGGGGAGCCTGTCAAACCATGCTAAGGCTGATCCTTTTAGGGTTATGGCAAAGGCGCGACAACGAATAAGATCTTGATATCCATGCAACTCCATCTGGTTTTTATAAGTATTCAGGAGGTCCATAGGGTCTCTGATTCCATTAAAAGCTTCTACCTGCGGCATTCTGAATTTCGACGGAAGGGAAAAATGCAACACCCCAGGAGTAAACGGGGACTCGATTTGCTACATCAAGGCATCCATGGTTTCTAGAGTTTTACTCCTCACGGCCTCCTTCATGTGGCTAAGCTCCTGTTGAATATCTCTAAAGCGCTGTTCTCAGTATTGGTCTTTTTGCTCTTGCTGGACTGGGCGAAGGTTATTCTTCTCATTCTCATTACTTCGGCTTTGCACCTCTTCATTGTCTCCGTTCTTCAGAGGAGGTTGGGGAGCCTAGCTATTTTCTCCTCCTTCGTCGGCTTCCCTGAAAAGGTCGAGATGTCACTGTTCCTTGTGAGGGGGATTATTCTGGCCTCCTTGGGCTGGTTGTTTCTCCTATGGTCACTGTAAAAGCTTCAAGAGTTCCTCATTCTACTTTAGCAGACGTTGATTGACCAGGTGGAGGGCCTCCAACTCGTTGTTCGTAGGAGGATCCACCATAGGAGGATTGACATCGGTGATGGGGAAGAAATCTTATGTATCTTCGTGTTGTTTGCTAGTATTCTCCTGCTGGTTCTGCACCCGCGGGAGAGTCACTTGACTTCTGCTCATATTGCAGGTTGAGATCATCAATTACTGAAGGATCAGTGTACTTGTAACGAGAACAATCGTTCCCATAGATGGCGCCAAATTGATGATGTAATCAAGGGGATGAATAGAATTCGTGGATTATGGTCCTGAGCTGCAAGGCTCGTGAGAATTGCAGCTAAGGTTCAAAGGGGATCTGAGGATTTAACACAATGTAATTATAGTGGTTCACCGGCTTGGAAACTTGGCTAATCCATTCTTCAATGGAGTCTCCTTCTCCTTTAATCTTTATTCATGGTGGATATGACTTACAGAGTGTTCTTGACGAAACTACGGTTGCCTACCTCTCAATGGAGGCACTGTACAATATTTGTAGTCCAATTCCTATCTCTTTGAAATCTGCAGCGAGATTTTTGCCCTTCATTCATGGGTTCTCCCTTGATTTTAGGGAGATCTTTGGTTGGTTAAGCGTCATGTGCCTTAATTATAGCTCCCATTGCTATGAGGACATCTTTCATCAGCCAACTGTCCTCTTCTCAGTTTCCTTGCTTGTTGGATCATTGAGCTCTGATTATTGCTTGACCTCCTGATCTAAGCTCATTACCTGAGCTCCTCTCCTGAGTTCATACCTAGAGTTTTTTTGGTATCATCAATTTCTGGTAAAATAATATAGCAAAACTATAATTCAAATTCTAAGCATGTGATATTAACAAACTACAAAATAGGGTATTACACTTTGATGCCTTAAACTATGGACTAGATTTTACTTTACCCCTTAAACTATTGAAATTTTCACATTACCCCTTTAGCTACTTTGATTGTTTTACATTGTCGCAATCGCAATCGTTCATTATCTTTTTGGACAAAAATTATTGATGTGTTGAGATAAAACAAAAAAAAAAAGTACTTGGTTGAAAGGACAAAATGAAATAATTTTTATTAAATATGTAAAAGATGTTAATAATTGGGATCATGTGATACTAATCACATAGTTTAGGATATAATATAAAAAATATGATAGCCGAGGAGACAAAAAAATAAAAATAAAATGAGAAGGTCAAAGCCTAATTTGGGCGTTCAAGAAATTGTGTTACTCACCGGTTAGCCCAAAAGGCTTGATGTAGTGAGAATGTTAATGTTTGAAAAGAGATGATAGAATTTTTAGTGTCATATCTTCTTTCAAATTTATCTTATTAATACAATTCTTCCCGTTTCAATAAAAAAAATAGCTTTGTCACTCCTCAGCATATATGGTTGACAACTACTTCAAAAATAAAGTATTATTGAAAAATAGAAACTCGTATTATCAAAGAATTTCTTAGATTATCTATACCGAGTTAATTTTCCAAACACAAACCCCGATGTATGATATTAATAGCTTTGTCGCTAAACATCAAGATGTAAATGCATAACGACTTCAAAATTCAATTTAGATCTTGACACTTTGACCCTTGAATTAAATAAAAAAAAAAATTAATTCAGATCTCGACAATATTTATACAACTAAAGAATAATTAACCTCTAACAAAATCGAGTTAATCAGCTAATTAAAAATTAATTTTTTAATTCATTAAAAACCCAAATTAAAAGTACTCCATTAAACCAAATCCAACAATAAATAAATAAATAAATATTATTTAAAAATTTAAAAACTTTATTTTATTCCAACAGTACCATGGCGGCGAGTAACCGTTGAGCAGCCCATCTCTTCTGCAACAACATCTTGGTTACAGAGAAGAAATCAATCCTCTCCATTTCCGTCTTCCGTTTCGCAAAGGACAATTCTTTCTCTCCACAGTTGGATGTTGCCATTTTTTTCAATGTCCCAACAGCTTCTTCTTCGCGTCCTTGCATAAGAAGCCATCTGGGTGATTCGCAAACGAACATATAGACTGGTACACAGAAGAGAATTCCAGGAATCGAAGTGAATAGATATAGAGTCCGCCATGAATGACCTCGGTTCAGATAAGCTATACCAGGTAAAGAAAGAAAACCCAGTGTGAACCAAAGGAAACTAATTGTACCCACTTGGCCTCTGTACCGTTTTCCGATGATCGCCGACACTAAAACCAGAGCACAACCTCCGACCGACGACCGGCCACAACCGGTGATGAATCTCAATACTGCGTAGACCCAAATGTTAGTGGACAACACAGTCAAAAGTAAAGCTATAGACATGGCGAAACATGATAGTAACAATAATTTCTTGCGACCCAGAGACGTGTCCGCCATTGTTGTCAAGAAGAGACCTCCGAACACACAACCCATGAAGTACACCGACGATGGAAGGCCGGCGATGATTGAGTTTGAACACTGACGGTTCCATTCTGATACGGTGGAGGTGTAAATAGGGTAGTCCCATGCCCATGAAGTGTTTGAGAGGTTGCATAAGTTAGATTCGGAGTTGCAGGTGAGTTGATCGGTGCAGTGCCATGAAGGTTGTTTATCGGAGAAGATGGTGATGAATGTTTGTTGGGCATCGAAGAACCAGGCCATGGAGAGAAGGAAGGATTGGAAGACCTGAGCCCATCCGAAGTTTCCTATGTATTGTTCGATCATGTCGTCTAGAGATGGAAGGTTTTGAGCTGAATCAGAGTCAGAGAGTAGTGGTCTCGAACTGGCCATCTTTACTGGCCTTGCCAAACCCTTCTGAACCCCTGGTACTCTATATAAGCAGAGGTGGGGGTTATGAATATGAAAAATACTATTTCGAATTAATTCATTAATTTTATTTGTTAATCGGTTCAATAAAACAACATCTTTAAATTAATTAATTATATCAGGTTTTAGGTCAAATAGCATTACCCTTATAGTATTAGTGGACTAAGACATAAGTTTTTGGGTCTAATTATAACAAAAAAAAAAAAGAATAATTGATTAGACCCAAAAACTTATGTCTTAGTTACAATTTTTTGTTATTAGAAAATGTCAAATTTGTAAATTTCTCCGCATTGAGAATAAATTGTGGAAAAATAACAATTTGAAAAATTCTCAACAAAGTTGTTATAAGAAAATTAAGGTTTTGTAAATACAATGACAAATATAATCGGTGCACAACTACTATTTCCAGTTGGAATTTACAAGCTAATATAACAAACACAAGGTTTGTATACATAAATAAACACTATATAACAACTAATCAACAACTAAACTACTTGAATTTAAAATATTTTGACATCGTTTTTCTCTCACCTCATGGTAGAATTTTTGGACTAAGAAAGGTGTAACATAAGTTTATTTAGACCAATAACAACAGCATAAAATTTTCTTGTCCCTTGGTATCTAGCTCAAATTTGTTAGAAAATTGTGTTAGTATAGATGTTAAAGTTTCCAAATTCAAAAACTTTTGAATCATATATCCTATGATTAAGAAATCAAAGTAAAAAACAATAGTTGATTAGGTCACCCTAACTGGGTGGAAGTTCTAGTTTAGTTGGAAGTTTGTCTGTGTCAAAGAATTGATATGGCCCATACGGATAAGAAAAAACACAAATCCAAATGCATATAACTACTCAGGTTGGATGCAATTGATTAGAAGCACTGTGGGCAAAATGACATTTGATTTCTTATCTTTGTTAACATCTTTCTCCATTAAGTCACACATTATAAAACAATTTTATAACCCAAAATAATAGCAATTTTCAGTGATTAAATAAAACAAAAATTATTAACAAAGACAAGAAATAAGACATGAGATAAGCGGAGCACCTAGAAAAATAGGATGTCACTCAATTAAATAAACATAAACAATCAGAAAATATAATAAGTAGAATTGGTCCCCTAGTGCATTAACCTTGAATAATTGTACCAAAAGAAAACTTGAATTGGTCCCTAGTGCATTAAACTTGAATAATTGTAACAAAAAGAAAACCTTTCATTTTCTATTACTACCAGTGCACCAATTTTTTATGGCAATAAATATACACAGTTGTAGCTCAAACCAACCGTTGCACCCACTTTTTATGCCAATAAATATATATGACTATTATTCAAGTATGAATATGAAGAATCAAGGTATTTAAAAATTTATATAATAACACACACACACACACACACATATATATATATATAAATTAAATGAAAATGGGTAGTATAGACATTATTAGTTGTATTAAAGTTATTATAGTCAAACAAAGTTTTTTACTTTTGTAACATTTTATAGTAATATAGATTATTGCCTATTAATAGGGCCCACCTTCATATTCTCGCCTAGGGTCTCCGGATTTGTTGGGCCGCCCTTGGGTACACCCACTTTTTATGTCTATAAATATACACAACTTTAGTTCAAACCAACCGGTGCACCCATTTTTATGCCAATAAATATACACAACTGTTATTCAAGTATGAATATGAAAAATCAAGGCATTTAAAGATTTATATAATAATACACACACACACACATATATATATAAATTAAATGAAAAGAGGGTAGTATAAACAATTGTAGTTTTATTAAGATTATTATAGTCGGACAAAAAATTTTCACTTTTGTTGTCATTTTATAGTAGTGTAGGTTGCAATAGTATCTAGTTGTCACACCCTAACTGACTTGGGTGGATAATGACAGTCTTGGTGGCACATTGCACCAAGGCACGCCATGAGATGGAATCAAGGTAATGCGGCTAAGTAGTTCGATAGATTGGTGTAGACTGTGGCGGCATGAGACCATCCGGCTGAGCATGGCAGCACGTGGTGGGCTCAATTGAGGCAATGTGGGTGCATAGCTTTGAATTGCATGGTATGGGTTGAACCCAACATACACAATGGTTCGTGAGAAAAGACTGGCTACTGAATGTGGGCACATGACTGACATATGGCTGCTCAATGCATGTGACCAAGAGGATGTGAGCAGTTACTGATGCTGAGACTCAGTCAAGACAGTTGCTGAACAAGGCTTAGTCTGTGGAAAGTAGTTCTGGGTGTTCCTAGCCTTATTTTGGTCCAGATGCATGCTAATGAGGGACAATTCTATATCAGTTACTGAATGGGTGGAACTACATGCCAGGTGTCGCACTGAGAATAAACTTGCTAACTAAGTCTGCTAGGGAATAGTATAATGTGTGTAACAACCTTTTGGCAGATGGGGGTGTCATCTACCAAACTCTTTGTATAAATAGGGGTGCTTGGGCATTTTGGTAGACAGAGAGTGTTCTTGCTGAGTTTCCTTGTATATTGTAAAGAGTTCAGTATAAAAGGTTTGAGAGTGTTGTCCTAGTGAATTCGTGTGTGCCTTGTGTGTGAGTTTTTGTCCCTGTTCTTGAGATTGTGTGTGACTAGTTCCAATGACAACGCCTTACAGGTAGTCTCGAAAGAAAAATGAGTTGTTATCCCGTAACATTAGTAAATATAGATTTAGAGGAAAGAAAATGTGTGTGAGAGAGACAGGAAAATGAGAGATCATGTAAGAGAAACTTGGACATTTGAAATTTTTTAAGAATTATCGTATTATGGCTAATTAAATTTGACAATTTAAAAAATAAATCAACTTGGAAAGTATTTAAATACATCTATTGTGGCTTTGCAAAATGATATTGGGCAACACCCAAAATTTTAGATAGAATAAGATAAACTTTACGAGAAATTAAGGTTACATCATTGCGTCGCAAAAATGATATGTTTGTATCCGATCGTTTGAAATATTTCTCTACCAATTATTGGTCGAGTGAGAGTGATTGTCACCACAGGACAATCTACTGGTATCGAAATGGAAGACATCAAATTGAATACGACTCAATCGTACCATATTACCGATACACAACAATTCTGTGGTTCACTCTTCTTCTACTGAATTGTCTGCATCAATGTGTCCGCATGGAACATGTGGTATCAAGATCCAATTTTTCTTATGTAAAGATTATGCTCCATCTCTTATGGTTCAAATTTACTTTTTTCTTGGAGGTTCATTTTTGCCCCCACTGGCCGGTGACTTCCAACAACCCACCACCACCTCGAAAAAACTGCTAGTAAAAGTCAGATGTGCTGCTAGCATTCAGAAATAAATATTGGTGTTTTATTTTGTCACCTAGCGCTCGAACGGTCATGCGACGTTTGACTAAAATAGTTTCGGTCCTAATGCTGGTAAGCGAGCAAAAGAAACTAAGATATAAAGTACTGGAAGTGCCAAAACTTCTTTTAGGTCTTGCTGAGCTCAAATCTAATCGGTCAGACCCAATAAATCAAATTAGCTCAAATCAGTTACAAGGCAGGTCAAGTCCAATTCATGGATTCGGCTCAGTCCAGAATTTAAGGAGTCCAGAAGAATTAGAGCACGTGAGGAGCAATTATTGAAATATTCACTATCGAAGATCAAGACTCCATTTAATTGTACTTACCTTTTGTAGCTATCCTCCCCGAAAAATTAGTACATTTACCCTCATGTCATCGCCTCACTTAAGGGCTTCATGCTTATAAATTGTAAGTTCTCTCTACATGAGAGAACACATTCATCTCTACCTCTACACACCTCACACATAACTTTTCTCTCTCCTAACTATTATATCTCTCCCGGGACTAATCATTGCTATCTCTCTCTCCCTCTAGTTCACCTTGTTCTTTTTCTCGTTCACCTTACTTTATCAATAGAGGTCCACCGGCCACCGTTGCAGTTTTTCAAAGTGGAGTAGGTCACCTAGACTAAACCACTATATATTTGTGTGTTGACCTGATATTTATTTTTTTGCCATTGGTTGTTTTATTAATTGTCCATTAATTACACTATGTCGCACACTCGACTGTTGATTATGCATAAGTCTATTTTGTGCATCATCAGCTTGACACCATCTGTGGAGAACCGATTCGATTCTCTCCTTATAGCCTTCCTTCCTCCAATGCAAGAACAACCAGATTCATGAACTACAAAACAAAAGATGATCCACCACATCAAGACGAGGTCCTGCCACCACCGGTAAAAAGTAGACACATGCAAAGTACCACCATCGCCCACCGTCAGCAGCTATCACCACACAACGTCGCCCACCATTGCCACTAGCCACTGTCACTTACCCCACCACACCTACCACCACCAACCACCACTATCTGCCATTGCCCACCACTACAGCCACTCACTGTCACCTACCCCCACCACACTTATCACTGCCGCCATTCGCCACTACCTATCACATTGTCGCTTAAAAGCACCCATCATTGCCCACCACCACCATCATCACCGCCCACCACCATGTCGTCGTCCCACCACAACCACTGCCAGCCATCATCACTGTCGTCCACCACCACCGTTTTCACCCACGACTGCCACTATCGTCATCGTCACTCAAAACCCACCACCATCATCTCCATTGCCACCTTCAGCTACTACCCACACTATGTTCGTCGCCTTACCAATCACAACCATCATTGTCTCCCACCATCACCACTACTATCACCACTCACCCCTACTACAATCAATGCTTCAACTTCTTTATCTTTTTTTTATGTTTGTGATTTGATTTTAAGTGTGTATACAAATATTTTGACCATTTTTTCTTATTACTCCATGGCTCCAGGCACGGGGAATAACTAATATCTTTATATTATCCCTACTCCACAATGGTAATGATAAGAGTTTCGTGCACGATGCTCTCGGTTTTAGTTGTTGGAACATTGATTAAACTAAATCGAGTTGTTTGGCTTTGACCAACTTTAAGTTTATACCTAAATGTCGTAATCACAAATATGATCTATGTTTTTCATGCGTTTAATTATTTTCACACATAAATGTGTTTAAATTTTCGATTACCCAAATATTTTGACCTTATCCTAATCTACTGATTGACAATCGCAAAAAATCAGATAGGCCACCGGAAGAAATTTTAGTATTTCGCAAAAATCGTGTAGAATTGTGGAATACTCATAAAAATTTCGTTTTCTTACCCAATTATATATGTACACACACACAAACACACAAACACACACATATATATGTGTGTGTGTATATATATACACACACACACACACACACACATATATATATACACATATATCTGTGTGTGTGTCTGTGTGTTAAATTTTTAACATATTAACACTGTTCATGTGTGTAGAAATCACAAACCACAAAAACTATTAATGTGTTAAATTTTTAACATGTTTAACATTATTGTGTTGGTTAAAAAGTGCAAGTTACTTAATTGAATTGTTAAAATGAACCAAAAATTAATAACTAAAAAATATTGTGTTCACCTGATTTTCTATGCAACTGTTTTGTACAGAATTCGGGTAGAAATAGTATACTTAATCGAATAAGGTAGGCTAAGAAAAATATTTTCCGTAAACTATTGGATAGAAAGATGAACCATCATAATTTCTACCTGTAAGGTAGGGTAAACACCCCTAATCACACAAAGGACGGACTTGGTTTTTAAATTATGTCAATTCAATTAGTTCTTTGTTATCTTGTCTTATGTATATCACCAGAAGCCCCCCACTAAATATTATCCAAAAATAAAGGTGTAAAGCATTCATTGATTGTTTTTGCCTTCTTATTTGGTTTCTTGTTTAGATTCAAAAGAAAACAACGGGAAATGATGTTTGAGATATGATTTTTATATTGGGTGAATTGAATCTAGACCCGTTTCATAATTTAGTTTGAGTAAACTACATAAATGATGTCTTTTTTTTTTGGGAAGGGAAAGGGGAAGGGGGACTTGAATCCTTAATCTCAAGAAGATAAAGTTTTCACAAGTCAAGATGTACTATTGGACCAAAAACTCATTGATTAAATGACGCCTAAACTATGTCATTTGCGCTAATTACATATTTTACACTAATCTTAGTGTCAATTCAATCCCTCAACTATGTAGTTTGAATCTATGACGTTTACTTCTAAAGTTGTTGTAAACTTCAACAAATCGTCTCACGTGCAAATCATGTGTATGATCTTAAC